ACGCAGGTCCACTCAAATCCAATCACCCTCATAGACTCCCTCACGGCAAAGGTTTCCCTATGACAGCCTGAGATCAAAGCAGCACATCCAACAGCCTGCTCTCTCGGCACACTTACGCAAATGTGGAGGAGAAGCGGCATTAGCACAGCACACATAGCAGATGCAGGGGAAGCAGCCGGAGACGCTGATTTCAGACAGAGAAATTGTGTCACGCAGCAACAGTGAAAAAGACATCACCGGCGGATATGAAAAACCAAAGTCGGAGAGCAAGCAGGCTGGCAGTCACATATGTGAAGTGGTAAAGATATAAACGAAGACAGAAGTTCAACGATGGACGCTAGATACTATATATTCCAGATATTATTCTGTTAGAGCTTGACAATTTCCAGTCTACACAGTTACTTCATCTATCATCTAAGCTATTTTAAGAAACTCTCTCCTTATAATGGTATGCCACTGCAACACTCCCTCCTGGGCGCGGGGGAGTTAGAATTTTTTTGGTTTAATAAACACAAACGTTGTCAAAAGATTGGATTTTTTTTCCAATTGTTTTCAAAGGGAGAGACACACTGGGCATCTCAGGGTATATGTTCCCTGTGCGGCTGTCCTTTTGTGCGAAAGGGTTACTCACTCCAGGTGAGTTTTAAAAAAATCATGAGCGTTTTTTCTGTGCTGACCAGCCAGATCAAAAGGAAAGCTGGTGTTCACTGACTGTGAGCCTTATTACAAAAGCAGTGTTTCCCACAGATCTAAGATATACTTTGGTGATGAGGTGGGAAGTGAAGGGAGACACTGATTCGAAAGCATTTGAGAGAGAGAGAGAAAAACCAACAACAATGACTGCACTCACCTATCAGAAATACACAGAGATTCATCTACAAGACTCTTTAGAGATGTCGTTTACATACATACAAATATTAATAACACTAAGGCTTTTTTTACTTGCAGGCCTAATTTATGACTTCATGTCTTATTTGTTTGAGTGTGAGTCATGTATTTTTCCCCTGAGATGCTATAAATTGTCATGTATGTATCTATATAAAAACCTGATGGTCTAACCTGCAACCTGGCTCAGTTTTCTAGCATCTTTGTTGGTACTGATACGTTGGTACTGAGTCTTTTTGCTCCCATAAGTCGCACTACAGACTAGCAGATGTTTTACGTGACCTGGCAGGAGAATAACGGTGAACTTAATTTCATAACTGATAATCTCTGACAAAAATAGGTAGAACACATCAAAAATTAAGAAGCAAGCTAGACTGTCTTTTACTCAAATATCGACAGTCATTTCTTGTGACTGTATTACAGTATGTATTAGTTAGCTTAATGACCGCAAAGTGCTTCTCTGTGAAGTTTCACACATCAGGGTACCTCAGCTACAAGTCTCTTCTCATCCTTGTGCATCTTCCTGTTAATATATTTCTCAATACTAAGAAAGCATGAGTCAGTAGTGTAGTGCAAACAGGCATTCTTTCAACTAAAATAAAAGCAAATTCAGCCAGGACAACTTTGCTAGTTACACTATAGTAGCAAGCTCACTTTACGGAAGTGCTGTTCACCCTGCGCAACATTTCTGAAATAATCTAAACGTATTTGGGCAGGTGTCCATATACCACCAAAGTATAACCTACATGTGGGAAACATGGAAAAGACACATCCCAGCAACCCTCATGTGGCATTCTATAGCCGGTGTCATGCCCATTTCCGGGTCTAAGCTGGTTTTTCCTATAGCAAACAGGAACAGCTTTTTTGAAAAAGCTGCACCGTGTTAAAACAAAAATGCTCCAAACCAGATATGTTATGACCTATCTGCCCAGAACATCATTGGATCCCCTGAATTACAAGACTGTTATGAAGTCAAAGTATGAATACTGCTAATTTCTTGCTACAAGCATGTTAACACTGCTGTGCATTAAAATGACTTCACACATTAGAAAGTCTACTTTCAAATTTTAACACTATGAAAGACTAATCACTATTATATAACAATAATAGCAAATGACTCCTTAACGACCTTGTAATTCAGAGGATCCAGTGATATTGAAGAGGAAAAATGTGCATATGTCAAAACTTCTTGGTTTTGGAACGTTGTTTACCATAAGATACGAAAGCAAAGGTTTCCGAAAATGACATTCATTTATTTCCTCATAGAGAAATCTGCTTATACCTGGATTACCTAATATGGGCACGATGCTGACTTCGGAATGACAACATCTTCGGACAACTTCGAAGATCTATGCTGGATAACTTTCCAGTCACTAAATGCCTTTAATAATCTAGCATAATCACATTAACTGGGGACTGCCATCAGATCACATCACAAACTAAAACTCTCACGGATGAAAGCAACTCTTTCGTTCCCAGCTAGAGAAAATGATCCCATGCTTTGTTCCAAATAATGGTGTTCGGATGACCACAATTACTGCTCTCAAAGCTGATTCAAGCACTCATTTCCCAACTCACTCAGACTAATGGTCTCCCTGCAGACCCCTGAAATACAGAAAGCACACGGCTCACTAAAAATTACTTGCTAAACTAATGATGCAGCTTGATAATCACCACCTTCGATGGTCTCGTTTCATTTAACACTATGCTAATTGCAAACAAATCTCAGTTTGGACTCATTTATTAGGAAAAGGACTTAGCAGGACGATACAGGTCTAGAAATGTCTTCAAAATTAGTCTTTCTTTGCGTCAAAGAGACCACTGGTATGTTAGAGACCACATAATTTGTGACTCATACACAGACAAATCATGTGATTCATGTAATAAAGGAGCTATTACAATACGTCAAGCACAATCCTACATCTCTTTTTTCACCTAAGGAGAGTGGCAAAACCTTGCAATTAATTCAGCACATGATCTGGTGCTGTGTCATGGAAACCTTATCTAGTCAAGTGTCTTGTATCAGAAGGACAGGAGGAGACAGAAGTAAGGCAAGCTCTTTGTAGGAACACAAGATGAGGTGGCACTGCATGTCTACCTCTGAGATTTTATGTTTCTTTCCATTAAAGATGAGTGAAAATCATGCTCCATTTGACAATTCCTTTCCAGGTAGCCTATGTATGAACATAAACAGTTTGCATGTTTATTGATTTGACCATTAAGAGTTAATATTTGAAAAAAGAAGTACAGATATACGGGTGGAAGGTGAACCAGTATAAAAGAAAATACCAGTGTGACATTCCCCATGATATGGATTTGACCAAATCGTGGACACTCTGATAAGGGAAAAAATGCTAAGCCCCACCCATATTTTTATAAATTCTTATAAATAACGTTGGTGCAGATTATTTGTTTGTGGAAACAGTCTTCCTTTTTTACATTTTTGTTGCACTCTACAGGATAAAATGTACAGAATATTAAATTACACACTAGCCTTTGACAGCTACAGCAAACAAGAGAACTATGTCCTATAACATATTGTTATTGTCCAGGTAGCAGAATATATTGTAATGTAAAGCTGAGTTCATATCGGCCACTCTTCTATAAGCATATTAGACTGTGTACCTTGACAGACATCTAGGTCATCTTTATGTGAAAGGAATGCCGAGAATTAAATTACTTAAGGAATAATTTCACATAATTTCCAACCCAATCGATGAGATGTAAACAAAATCATTCAGCATGTTCTGACATAAAATCATGCATTTTAAAGTACCTTTCCGACTCCTTTTTTTCTTTCTTTTTTTTTACAATGGTGATTGGAACCAGGGGCTACAACACAAATTTATTGTCTAAAAACAACTAGTTAACCAACAAATCATACAGCTCTACTTTTTTCTTTCCTTTAATCAACATAATTTTTTACATGTAATGTTGGGAATGAAAAAATACTGGTAAATCTGAAAAAGTAAGAATCCATGAATGGAAAATACCTTTTAGGCATCATATAATGTATTTTCACAACCATTTATGTGAGGGAGCTTTTAGAGGCATTAAACATTTCAGAGGTCTGGTTCCTATCAGTACAGCTGTGAACAATTTTCTACGTTTTTCTAGAATGGCGCATATCAAACCACTCTAAATGACTTTGCATCTCAACCATTTAATTATGCAGAAATGTTCTAAAAATCAGTGGATTCTCCCTTTAAGTGAGTGAATATTGGGCATTCTTCTCACAAAGATGGCCTGAATGTCATTCAGGTTATTCGTCTGGGTATTCAGTTTAGACTCCATATTCAGTGGTGACAATCTTTTGTGCTGACCTGCTTTCTGAATGAGAGGCAATGCCCTTGTGTTGTCAGGAAATGTCCAACAGCTCTATAGCATCACCTTTGGCAGTCCATATATCTTGAGATGTGTGACTCTCTGATGGTTGTGACAAGATTATCTTGAAAAAAAAATAATTTAAATAGGGGATTGTTGGTTGTGAGGTTCAGATAACGAGGAGACACATTTGCCCTCCAACAAGGCTACCAGCCTGAAGCCAGCTTCTTGTTCGAATTTTCTCGCTCCACCTTAAAAGGTTCAGGCGCCAGAATGTAAGGTTAAATGCTGTACCATTTAAGGAGGAACGGGAAAATTCGAACAAGAAGCTGGCGAATAGGAAGCCAACTTCAGCCACGTAAGAAGGCTGCTAGCCACAAACGACTCCTGGACCGATGACATTCAAGCCATGTATTCGGCTATGTATTCTTATGAATAAATAACGTGGTGTCATTAACAGCGACACTGGGACAGAATTCACCAAGTGGTTCACGTAGGTTAGGTTATATGACGCTAATGTTAAACTACAAGCCACATCAACAGAGCCTGACTAGTAGCTGTTAGCAGCAGCTAACAGGATCAAATGACAGCATCCCAACGGCGAATTAGCATCTGTCAACATCCATACCAGCAGCTACGCAGCTACGTTAGCTGGTTACGGTAATTTACAACGCTTGTCATCGTCCTTTGGTTACAAAAACGCCCTTTTCGCAAACCCAGCTGTTATGACACAAAGAAACTAGGCTATAATCTCGACCGCATGCGTAAATGAACCAAACGGAGCTACTGACCTCCAACAGCTAGCAAGCAAGCTCTCCTGCTAGCTTACTTAAGCTAGCTCACGTCGTTGCGATGTTGTCTCGCCACAGCGATGTATTCTGATGTTTTTTTCACAAAACAAACGATGGCAACGCTATATATCCGTCGGACATATCGAGTGGATCTCGAAGCGTGTGCTGCACATCTGGAAAAGTGCAGACTGTCGCTCGGGGAGGGGTGTGTGGCTGAAATGTGTCGTTAGATGAATTCTCCCCTCCTCAGGCTGCCACTCATTCTCACTGTGGGCGGCTGAGGAGTTCCGCATTAGAGCTGAGCGGAGGGTGGACCGTACCATTCATTAATCTGGGGATTGGGCGATACCACTCATTTTCTTTTCAATCCGATACCTTGTAATACCGTGTACCGATACCTTTAAAAGTCTTTTTGTGCACGTATAAATCAGAATCCTTTGAGATTTATTCAGTGAAAACCAGTAAATGTGAATATCAAAAAATATGTTTGAAAGCTTTTGCATTAGTATTAAGTAAACTATGACATTCTGTTTAAAAAAAGTTACTCAGTTTACTGCTGAAAGAAAACACTTTATCAATATTCTCAGTATTTACATATAAGGATCAAGTCTCAAAAACATCCCATTATAAATTACATCCCATTCTAAATCCATAGGCATTAATATGGAGTTTGTCCCCCCCTTCGCAGCTATAACTGCTTCCACTCTTCCGGGAAGCTTTTTACAAGTTTTTTTTGGAGTGTATCTGTGGGGATTTTTGCCCATTCATCCAGAAGAGCATTTGTGAGTTCAGACACTGATGTTGGACGAGAAGGCCGACATTTACATACGAAGATCAATTCTCAGAAGCCCGTGTTTTCTAGCAACACGTGAAAACCATTCTAGTGAACCAATTCACAACTGAATGAGCATTTCCAACTGAACTGGGTATTTTTGTGGCATCTACACAAATCTACTTTTGGTTTATAACCTAAAGTCTTGACAGAATCAGAATATTAATTTTTGACAGTTTAGCCACATACAATTACAATTTAAATATGGCACTGTACATAACAAAAACTCTAATTTTTTCTCCATAGATTGTAGCTGGCTCCCTTTTTTCCTGTGCTGTTTTGGAAAATAACTATAGTAATACTACAATAATTTCTGTAGGACTCCTATAAAATTAAATTATACAATTACTATACTCATATAGCACTTACATATTACTCTATAACACTGCTTAGAGAGACTATACTGACTCCATTACTGAGAAGTAGCAGACAGCAGACTCTCTCACTGATTGGAAGGTCACTGTGTATTAAGATATTGAGAATAAAGTTGAGTTAACTACTCATTGGAACCAAAAAGAAAAAAAAAAGGAATCACTGAATCAGACATACGATTTATTAAAAGAGCAGTACGCCGAATCGAACCTCTCACCACTAACAACTACTGTACCCAACCTCCAAGATTTTATGTAGGTGTGAATTTAATCGGCTGATGACTGACAGCATTAGCTTGGTGCATATAATCCTAACTATAAAAACTGCACAGCATAGCCTGTTAAAATGTAACAGTGTAGTCTGAATTGTTTTCTATGCCTGGGCTAAAACCAACCACACAGAATTTATCTTGTGATTAAAAAAAATAAAATTAAATTAAAAAAAGACAGGCAACATTTTGACTTTCAAGTTTATTTACAAGGTAAACTCAATCTATTAAAAACTGCAGAAGAATAAAAAGACACAGACAATGAGCAGTTCCATGTTTCAGGTCAATATATTTCTGTATAAAGAATAGTTGAGGTGTTTAGTCATCTACATTTCTTCAGCTTTTTCAACAAACAAATATATATATACTCTGGCAGAACAATAAAATTTGTCAGATTTTAATTTATACATATAAAGCAGTTTATCCAAGGACTTAAGGCGTTAAAACAAGTTCGCATTCCTATGTCACCATCGTTTGATGCCACACCACAGGAGGTCAGATTAATTAAGAGTAAAAGGTCCACCCAGCAGGGCATTAAAAAATAAATTATTACAATCAACTCTGTACTAAACGTTCGCCTGGTACATTAGCAATCTGTTAGAAGCCAACACATTTATTAATGTTGATTGGAAGAAAAAAAAAATGGAAGTAGACATTGCAAATGCACACTGCTTTGATGGAAGGTGTTAAATTATGCTATACCTGATAATGTTTCCTGTGTGGGATTAGAAAACAATACAAGGATCAATTTATGGACTGAAGTGTACTGCTGTCATGAGAGATCAACAGGACATACATCATCACCTGTACGATATACAATTTAAAAGAATTTACCGTGTTAAGGTATGCATTTAATTCAAATCTGATTCCAATGATTTGCAAATTACCTTTAAATTGTCCTCATTATCAGTTTAAAATACCTAGTATCACTTTGACAGAATTATTGCAGGTCTAATGCTTATAAATCTCACATCTAAGAGGAACTAGCATTTCAATAACCTTTTGAAAGAGATTAACATTACTGACAACAAAAGTTTTTAAAACACAGTCTCAAAGACATATCATGCAGGAAGGAAAAGCATCAGGTCTTCAGGGCATGTTTCAAGGACAAGGGCTTAAGGTTTTATACATTTACTGCAATTAAGTAAATGGTATAATTTAAAGTTATAAACCTATGATGTAAACTCTACGTTCCTGATTCAGATAAATTCTACAACAACATCATCAAAGAACACCACCAAATCATTATTCAGCCACAAAATAGTGCTGTTCAAACCTAACAACTCAATTCCCAATCATTCAATGACAACCCCTGCAATATTCAATGCAGCCTGCAAGCTATTTTAGTGCTCAAATGATAACACATCCTTTCAATGTACAATGTGCAAGTTCACAAGTAATGAGACATAGTACTGTTTCATCAGTTCTTGATTGGAGTTTAAATTAGAAAAACTGACTACTTAACTGGGACTAAAGCATGTCAATTAGCTGGAGCTAATTATACAAGCCAAATAAGAATCCTGAAAAATAATAACAATAATAATAATAATAATAATAATAATATGGCAACATTTTACAGAAATTTGCATTGATTTGGTTCTAGGCCATCTCCAAGCCTAAGTTCACCACACTAAAGTGCTGGTATTACTCTAATTCCTGTTAGAGCTACCAGTGACCAATGTACAGTAGCTACTTTGAGGTTATTGTCTTTGCATGTTGTTGGTGTTTTGAGAGAAGGACAAAGCCACTTCACCCAACTAACCAGAGGCAGGGTAAGACATTTCCTACCAAGCTACAATGCAAAATAATAATGTAACTTGAAAAAGATGATTAAGATCAAATTCAATTTCAAAGCATCACTTTTACAACCATGTAACTGATTTGGGGTAGTTAGAATGACTTGAAGTGGCTGACAGAAACTACCAAGCAAAAGTTGTCTGATTGGCATGGAGAGCAGTGGTTAAAGATGAGAATGCAGAAAGCATACAGAAAGCTGTCAGAGCATGGGTTCAACACTAAGACCTCATAAGAGATATAAGAAATAGTACTGAAAAGCTAATTTAGCCCCTAGTTCGGAAGACCCATGATATTGTACTGTTCTATTCTGCAACAATAACAGGACACTGAGGTTTTGCAGTAATAGAAGAAATGGTTAAAATCTTGTAAAACACCATTCGCAAGAAAACCACTTAACAACAGCAGAGAGATCTCTCAAATAGAGAGATCTCTGTGTATACAAATATGCTAGCTAATGAAGCTGTGGTATGATAGACTGTGAATTGCAGTAAATGGACACGGTTACCGTAGAACACAAAAAGTGAAAACTAGGCCTATGTTTAATGGTTAGATGATTTTCACACAAAGTTTCTTGCCAGCCTTACAGCAGGTTTGTAAGTTGAGCAGCATACTGGTTTATGTTGACAGGTCCAGTGACTCCTGCCAATCCCTGTAAGTGGCTCACTGGATTATCTATTTATTTATTTATTTATTTAGTCCTTGTAATATGAACCCGAGATTGCATTTCGTTCATCATCACCTTCACTCCATAGACTGTGAACATGAGATTTTACCGCAACATATATAAGCCCAAGTTCTCCACATAAATGGCATGTTCACATCTTTAAATGAATAATGCAGTAGGCATGAAAGTTCTAAACCCATGACTTCATTAAGTAGGAACACCGATCGAGAGGCTCTCTGGCATACCCAACTGATCAGTCGGTTCAGAATCCTGATGCGTTTGCCACATTTTCACTGTTGCAACTTGGAACCAAATAGCCCAGACAGAATGTTTGAAAAAATTCATATTGCCCCTTTCACATTCCACAATTCCTACACTGAACACATTTCACACTAAAAAAGTTGCCATTCTAGAATAATTTGTTATATCACATGGCTGAATCAGAACATCCCTTAAATATCGGGAGCTTAAAGTATTTACAATGAAGCAACAAAGTGTGTAGTGTGGAAGAGGCTTTTAATTTTTCAAATAAAAATGGTGTAGGAGCACTGCTCCTCGGCAATGTTTAAACTCTACTGCTTTTTCATCCCAAAGTTTAGGAATGAAAGATGCTCATAGAGCACAGAGATAAACTCTTTGCTACGGCCTTCCATTCACCTTGTTAAACCTGTGCTACAAATAAACTTCCTGCATCTGATTTAGCATAATGGTGATGTAATGCAACTGTAGGCTTGTGGAACATAACCCTTTCATTTTGAGCTATTCTGTTCCAAGTTGTCACAGAGGAAATGTGGCCACCACAAAAACAAAAAGGAACAACAGAGAGCCACAATGATAATTATTTCAATGAAGACCAGGAACCATTGCCAAGACCTGCTTAGAACTTTTGGTACTCAAAACATGAAATAAAAACAAGACAACCACCTTAAAGAAACAATTTGTAGTCATTCATTCCAGTGAGCAGGTTTCTGGGTCCATAACAACTCAGAGCTTCAATGCTGGAGAAACCAGTACTGCCAATGCAATTCACCCAGGCTTAGGCACAAACAGTCCTAAAGTCTCATCTGGCAACACAGTCTTTAGAAAGCTCATTCTGAATAAGCAGACCACTGTATCCTGCACAGGAGAGCATAAATGTGTGTAAATAGGAAGATAAAATCAGCCTCCTCAAGGCTGAGTCAATTACAGAGTGACGTCTTGGGCCTGAAGGAAATTGTGAGGCTATGCTCCCCACTACCCATCCGCCACACTACCCTGATTCTGTATGACTCTGTCCTGGGGGCTGGCTGGGGCTTCACTCGTGGACATCCCAGATTTCAGAGAGCAGTGGCGGGAGTTTTTTGTCTTGCAGGCGCAAGGCAAAGACCTGCTCAGAGTGCACGCTGCTGAGGGTGCGCAGGCTCACCAACTTCATCAGCATGCGTGGGAACATCAAGTGATCCTGCAAGGTGGACAGAACGAGACAAGTCATTCACAGTAGGGATGCACAGAAATTTCCTCTGAAAATGGTCAAAAGCGGCACTTTATGTTTAAAAAAAATGCTAATGAAAATGATAAAATAATGGAATTCAGTGCCTTGGATGATTAATTGTTCTTTGTTATCAAGGATGCTGATATACAGCACACGCTATATATGCTGTAATAATTTTAGAAAATTTTAGTAAATTTAAACTGTATTTATTGTCAGGCCAGTTTTGTCATACTGAAAGGATTTTTATCAAAAATACAAGTGTTTTTCCTTCACTTCAATGTATATTTTTGTACATTTTTTGTGTTAATTCACACGTCACTTTAAATATGCCATACTGCAGTAGAGCTGGCCAAATAGGGCAATGTAATCGTATATCGGCAATAACCAAGAAGTAACCCGGTGCCAATACTTACTGCCTGTGTTGATAAAGATAATTGATGGAGAACTAAATAACCCGACAAGGAATTTTTTTATTATAATATTTACATGTAATGTTTTATTCCCTTTGTACTTCTATTTTCCTAGGTCACAATGTAACCAATTACACTCATTTTATTAACACACACACACACACACACACACACACACACACACACACACACACACATATACACATGCATACATGCATACATACATACATACATAAACAACAAGTAAATGAGTGGTCTATAATTACATGCACTTGGGCATTCTGGATAAATATTAAAAGATTATGAAAGATAATATCAAATTAATGATAAAAAGCCATTTATCTACAACAATAGGATAAAGTTGAGGTTGTACCTGTGTGACACTGATATAGAGTCATGCACTTAGTATACACATTCAGCTCTTTCCTTCAATGTTGACTTACATTGGGTCTTTTTATCCGGATGTATGAATGCAGGGCATCCACGTATGGCTGCTGGAGCTTTTCCACTAAATCATGATCCTGCACGTTGGGACGGTCTGAAAACACAAACATACAAATGGTGAGAGAGAGGGAGATGGAGTTAGAAATCAAGAATCACTGACACTAATGTTTCATTAAGAGAGTACAGAAGTGCCTTGGAGGAAGGACAGTCAAGCTCAAATCAGATGTTCTGCAGTATATCACTAGCAAGGCAAACCTCAAGTTAGCACTAAAAATCGCTTTGGATTATTTAAAGCCTCTCTGATCCGTAAAACTGCACTGTACTGGATGCTTGACATGAATGGAAAATGCAGCACACAACAGTGCTGCATTACAGTAAGCAAGGAATGCTTGAAACATTGAAGCTGGAATCCTTAGTTAAAATGTATTACTTGTCCTGGAACACATGCTGAAAAGTAAGCTTTCTTTAAGGAAATGCAGTGTCAGCAGGCATATTCGGGACAACTCGAAAAGAACTGTTCTTAAGTAAACAATATTTATAAAAATATTATTTAGCTTCATGATTCCACTGTAACGTGCACACTTTTCCACAGATTTATTAAATAATCTGCTGAATACATGTCCCAGTGCAGCCAGATGTCCAACTGCATGAGCAAGATGTGAGACCCTTCTCTGCATGGGAGGCTGACCTGCTGAGAAGATGTTGATGGCAATAAGCAGTGCGTACTCTGCCTCGTCCAGGTGCAGGTCATTCATGCCCTTAGAGAACTCAAAGATGGGGTTGATGAACTCGATCTGTAGCCCTATTGGAAAAGCAAGTAGGACAGAGGTCATTTTGGGACATCTGCAGGTCACAGGCATACCAGTGCTAAATACAATGTAATAGGAGCAAATTCAATTTCATGGTGACAAAGACTTTTGGTAAATGTGAATTCAACACTCATATTCAGATCAAATACTGACAAGCTGAACTTTAATCAACACCAAAACTAGGATCAAGCTAATCTACATGGTTTATTCATAAGCATCTAGACCTGCTTTGGCAAAGTCATCCTTGTTGTAGCTGAAGTCCGGAGTGAGGAAAGTGATGCTCTCCATTGCTGGATTGTAGCGCCGAGATGTTTCTAGAAGCATTATCTGCAGAAGAATAGACACATAAGACTAACAAAGGCAGGCAAACTCAACAACTGATAGCTTCATGGCCTTACAGTACCACTAGGGGGCAGAAAATCTCCATTTAAAAAAAGAAACCCACATTGTTTACAAATTGGCACAAGAAAAACAGATTGCATTGGTCCACCTGTGCATGTGCACTGCAATACAATTACAGAATCATTTAAAGTGACCTGGCTCATGAGTTAAATTAAGAGTGTGCTGGAAACTGACCTCTATTGTAGAGGTCTTGAGCAGGGCTATCTGGTCCTCACGAGTGAGCTCCAGGAAACCAGGCAGCTGTTTAGCAAAGTCTACGATTTCCTGCACCGACATGATTGCCAGCTCAGTGAAATGAGCAAAACGCTGCTGCCGCACCTCCCGGTTCTGTGGGTCCTGACTCTGTGGCCATGGCTATGGAGAACAAAAAAAATAAACTCCTTCAATGTTTTTATCCACCTTTTTCCCCTTAAAAGTTCAACAAGCTGTTTCTTGTCTAAAACAGTAATGGTGTAAGAATGGGGTAATTTAGCTACTGAAGTGCAATCCTAAATCTATGAAAAATGTTCATGTTTGCAGTTTCAGAGGAAAGAGCCCAAAATATCTACAGTGGAGTGAATCTAGATTAATGCAATAAAGGGAATTTCTGACTGACAAGCACAACTTTCACCAACTTACATGAGAGTTGACTGCATTCAGACAGAACACAAAGTTTAGCTGATATATATATTTAAAGTTGGAGATCTTCTAAGCTACAAGCATATATTTGTGTATAAAGGTTATATGTAAACATGTTTTAGTGACCACACAGTGCGTTGTAGGACTGGAGCCACTTACGGTGACTTTGAGCCGGTCAATGAAGGAGCGTTTGTTGCACTGTTTCTGCATGGCCACAAGCTTCTCGATCATTTCCTGCTGTTCAGGAGCCAGCGGGGCGACCTCAGGGGCTGGGCTGGGGGTGGCTACGGTAGAGCTCCGGGCTGCCTCTTCCTCATGCTGCTTTTTCATCTTTTTAAGCCGAATTTGCTCCTCTGAGAGCACACCTGAGAAAGTGGAGGAAGATTTAGAAAACAGCACATCTGTGGGTGTCAGTGCATGTGTGGGTGTGCATGCAGGCACAATGTCCATATTAACAATGTCCATGAATGTTAAATGTTAAATACTTAAATACTAATCACTGTTTTTCAATGTGTCTTTAAGTAAAGTGTATTTGATCAATCAGCTGACATGCTCGTCATTATGCACTGAAAAAGCAAACCGGAACATTTCGTTCCTAGCTCAGATTGCATCACATAGTGACCTATTGGTGACTTATTGACTTATTTCAACTTCAGACAGGAAGACAAGAGAAGCCACTCACATTGCTCCAGCATACCCGCCTCCCTGCACTTGCGCAGCCGGCACTGCTGGCACTTGCGGCGCATGTACATGTCCATCTCGCAGCGGCCTGAGTTCTTGCAGACGTACTGTGCTCCTTTTATCACACTGCGTCTGAAGAAGCCCTTACAGCCCTCACAGCTCAGCACATTGTAGTGGAAGCCGGAGGCTTTATCCCCACACACGCTACACACCTCATTTCCCAGCATTTTGGGAGCAGGGCCCTTCTTCCTCTTCACCGGTTGACCCTCTACATGTGCAGACACATACAATACAACAAGAAATAACCAACTTTCCCACAAAAAAACTAATACATTGAACTTGACACAGCGCATGTTTTTATAAGCTTTTAACGTGGCACAGCAAAATTGGTCATTTGCAGACTTTGGTGTTCAAGCAATGCAACTGCATTAGATATGTCCATTCTCTACAATGCACAAAGTCACATTTTTGTTTTGCAGTGTCAAGCAAAACCCACATAGTTCCTCTCCTACAATCTAATGTCTTTCTTTTAAGAGTGAAAACCAAGCTTAAAAAAAGGAAATGCTAATATATATATATATATATATATATATATTAGTATTTCCTTTATATATATAAATATATATATGTATATAAAAACAGAGAGCTCCTCTGGAAACCACAGTGTTGCTTTGTGGGTGCTTTTGCACATTGCTGTTTGTTTATGCTGTAAAACAGTTGATTTGTGATTTGTAAAAGCCCTGTATGTGGTCCAACCACACCATGTTTGACTAGAGCTGGTATTCTTTCGCCTGTGCTATTTGTCAGTCAATATTAATACAAACTTCGCTTTGAAACACTAGCTCTTTGTTGATGAGCATGGTTTTAAGGCAGAAAAAAATAATTCAATGCTCAGAGAAAGATCAGGTTGGGAAAAAAGAAAAAAATTCATATCATATCAATACAACATTAAAACATAGAATACAAAAATTCGGCCAGTAATAAATGTTAAAAATTAAAGTATGCATCAATACTAATACTGGTATCAGGTGTCGGTCCAATACCGCGCTCTTTTACTCATACTCATAAAAATGCACCAATACCAACAACCGATACACCCTGATATGATGTGACGAAAGCTTAGTGTATGCTGCTGTGCTACTGAACAAACAGTCATTGGTCACGTCAAACATTCTGCTTTGGCATAGTCCTGCCAGGCATACACTGTGTGATTTTAGCCTGTTTTTAAATGCATACAATCACAATCACTTCCCCAACATGGGTGAATGCAAACAGGCTTGTAAAACTGGGCAAAAAGTCATCATTTGCTACTAAAGACAATTTTACTTTGTTTGACAATAGAATTGAGAGGTAAATATGTTAGTATGTTTATTTCATTAATTTAGTCTTTGTAAGGCTGTACGCTATAGAGAAAATGCCTAAAATGTGACCTCCTCAGATAAGCCTTGGATGTGATTCCTGCTGTAACTGTGCTACAAAAAAAGTTAAACAAACCAATGAAAATCAAAACTATGAAACTTACTTATTTACAGCTGAACAGAAATGCTTTTTTGATGTCAAACATAACCCGCTCTTGTCCACTGCAACGCTACTCAACTCAAGGTAACTAATGTAGCACAGATAGCTAATGCACTTCATTTGCTATCAACTAGATTTTATCAATTTAACTGTTAAGGTACATCGCACTCATTTACTCAAACAATTAACTTAATTCTAAGTAGGTTACTCAGAATGGTATCAGAATCTGTATCTGCAAATACTGAAAAAAACTTGCATTTGTATTCGTTCTGAAAAAAAGAAAGAAAAAAAAAGGTATTGACGCACTACTATTCAAAACAGTTTTAAATGATGTCAGTCACTTAAGTAATAAACTTACTTTGTCACAGAGACACTCATGAATGGCAGGGTGTCGAGGAACGCATGCATAATGCAGGACTTGTAAAGCCAGTTCGCCTTTGCTAAGAGCTCATTCTTCAGTTTACAGCTCACATACCTACCCCTATCAACAGCCACATAAACATATATTCCCCCATGTGCCTACAATAACCTTGTCACATTCTTTCCCTGTGCGTAACTTTCAAATTCAAGCCTACTGGAGTAAAATGTGCCACAGCAGTCCCTGGTTAAGAAAAATAGTCAGTTTAATGATGAACTTTATGTAGATGTTGCAATCTACATCTATACCTAAAAAAACACGTTTCATTTTCAAGTCCTTAGGACTCTTGTGCATATGCAAATACAGGCACACATTCATAAACTCCAACCTAAACACATATACACCCCAACATACCTGGAGCAGGTGTGTCAGTGGAGGGATCCAACTTGATGTCGCTAGGTTCCATGGGCAGCGTGTCGCTCAGTTCGTTAGGAGAACTGGAGAATGAAGCTGGCTGACTTGGAGAAGAATGAACCTCATGTTTCACTTCTGCAACTGAAGAGCCCTCCTTACTGACACAGCCCAGACTCTCCCCTGCAGGGGAACATACGCATTAATATAGTAACATAAATTCAGTATGTGCACAGTGTCCACCCCTACCTAGGGAACACACAAAAAAATAGAAATAAAAATACTTTTACACATACATTTACTTTAGGTCTGGCTCCCCACCCTTACTCTCACAGCACAATCAAAAGAAAAATGAAAATTTTAAAAGGAAATCAGCAGTGCCGGTACAATACAACTAAGCATAAACTGTACCAGGAGAACTACCCAATATTTGTACAAGCACTGACCACAAGTCATTAGCTAGATGTGTAAAAGTGAGACTGAATCCAACACTTTATGTAGGAAGATCTTACCATGACTAACATCACTGATATCAGTCGCAGAAAGGGTGGTCATCTTCTGCACAGCAGCTTGTCATAACGGACCAACACCACCTGAAAACCACATAGAAAAGTCTTTTTTTAACTCTAAATTGAGGAAGGATTTAACCTAGTGCCACTGATTTCTTATAACTTAAAACTGATTCAGATCTGCATATGATTTTAAATAGAAAAGGTTTTTATCCCGCAGTCTCATGGCTGATGGAGTTTCTGTTTATTACAGATTTGCCACCTGACGTTCCAAATGGTAACTAATTTAATAATGTTTAATAATGGAAGCAAAGGCCAGATTTGGTGTGCTCCACCTCCATCATTTTAACTTCCTGAACCTCAAGACAAAGCCTAACTTCAGAAATAGATCCATCTTCTGTCAAATCAAGCATATGACATTAAATGACAGCTGAATCTTTCTCATTAGTATAAATAAAAGCTACATGCATTACAACTGATGTCATTCCACAACTTCAGATGCTACATACAATGTAGAAATTACGGAACATTATCACATGCTCCTCTGCCTCAAAACCACAAACAAGGCCTTTAAATGCACTGTGGTAGAGACCCAAAACCCCAGTTAACCTCTCCACTGAACACTGCGACATGCTTAAGAGTGTTGTCATGAGTAAGCAAAACCAACATGACCAATGAGACTACGGTTCAATAAACATGAGTAACTTTTTATCGAAAGCAGGACCCATGTTGCACAGTCATTCTTTCAGTACCGTGGGAATCATCGCACAGCAACATGGTTGTAAGCAATCCCCCCCCAAACACACACCCACTTGAAGTCAATGAAACAGCACTTTTTAAACCAACTCAGCCTGCAGTACCAACACTCTCTGGGTAAATGGGAAATGAAAGCTAGAAACTGCCTCAAATCAACAGTATTGTAATTTTTTTTGCTGAGTGTGTAATTACTATTCCTTTTAAGGCGGTAAATTGATTAGGAAAAAATACACACTGTGAAAGTTTTCCAGTATAGCAACAGATGGATTTAGCATGAAGATTGATTTGTCAGCAAACTAATAACAGGAAGGTGGAAAGTTAAAGTTGTAGCTAAAATTAGGCAAGTGAGGAAGTTTTCATTAATCTATTAGGCTTTATAAATGACAATAAATCTCTTTCTGTAACACAACAGCCAGCATACTTACATATGTCAGCTATGGCATGAATTTTATACCAATTATATGTGGAACACATTTATTTTCATGTAGTGATAGATTAGTTTAACGCATCAAACTTTTTAATCCTTGAACTGATTTTTAAAGCACCAGATAAATTTTTCATTCATTTAAGGGGAATTCCACCAATTTTTCCAAAATTTCTGCATATTTGAATTGTTAAGAAGTAAAAACCTTTTCTTCTTTAAGATTTACCACAAATTTGCCCATTATCAGCATTTTAAATGATAACTCAGTAGAAACATGTAGTTTCACAGGTTAGACAGTAAAATAAAATGGCTATACTTGTGTCCTGGTTCCTATCACCACCACTGCAAAGAAAATCAGAGTATACAGGGTGCCATTTCATATCAAACCACACTAAATGACTTTTTCTGTTTATTTAAGCTCAAAATAAGAGTCACTGAAATCATGTGACTAGTTTTTAGTACTACCACAAAGCACAACTACATGTAAAGGCAATACTGTGATTTCTGGCCAAGACATCACTTTACATTCATTTGTGTGTGAACTCTGACCAAGAACAAACTGCATTAGCTGCAGCAATGCACTAAAACAGAAGTGCATGTCTGTGTGCCTCTGTGATTAATGCAGTTATGAGTAAGAATGACACATACCCCTGATGTAACTCTTTGTTATTGCCTGTCCATCTTGCTCTGTATGTTGCTAGCAGGTCATGTTGTTTATCCTCTCCAACACTCTGGACACTGTCAGGGGGAAACTCCACTCCTGAGAAAGCTTTTCCTGTCCCAGTTATAGGGGACAGAAAAAGGCAAAGGGACAGCCAGAGAAAGAAAGAACGGGAGACAGAGAGAAAGAGATGGAAAGGATGGAAACCAAGGCTCCTTTTTTAAGATGTATGGGTCAAACGCCAGCAGGAATTGTGAGAGGAAAACAAAGAGAGAGAGAAAGAAAGTAAGTGGGAGGGAGAGAGAAAGGGTGGGAGAGAGATAGAGGGAGAGAATTAGAGGTTACCATCGGTCGTTTACATGGCTGTGAAATCCCTGTTGGGCCCGGTGCACAAGCCGCCTCTTCCTGTCAGAGCGTGACTCTAAAACCACCTCTCATACACATTTCCAAGACTATGAGACCACTTAAAACTATATCACATTCAGATCACCTTTCATCAAACAAACCAACTATTGCACTTATAACCATATATACTCCACTGCATTAACTGGACACCTTTCAAACATCGCCAGTGGGCGATTTGTTATCTTCTGTCTTATCAATATTTATCATTTATCTCACATATTTACACTTAGGTTAACAACCTGTTTTGCCAAGGAGACCTCTCATAGGAACCTGACCAAATCGGAAAACACTGCTAGCTAACATTTAACTACACCTTCTTGCCCATTAATTACATAAAAAAATTAGTAATAATTTATATAGTTCCCTTTAACACAAGTTAAAACTTTTTAAAAGTACGGGAAGAGTAAAACAAAATAAAAGACAGGTAAATGAAGCTGAAAAATAAATGACAAATCAGAGACAATAGAGAGGAGGAAACGCATCAAAAGTGTTTAGAGAAAAGAACTGAGGGGGACAAAATATACATATATATAAATATATGTATATGTATACATATACATATATATATATACATACATACATACATACATATACATATTTATATGTGTATGTATATATATATACATATATATATATATATATATATATATATATATATATATATATAAAATAATTCAATTTAAATTCAGCATCAAACAAGTGTATATTAAGAGGTTTTTTTTTAAAAAAGTTCTAAAATACAATACATTCTGGGATGAAAATGTCCATTGACATTATTTAAGTTCTTTAGTAGATTTAAGAATTATAGATATAAGAATTTTACAAGACATTTTTAAGAAGGTTTTTAAGCATCCATAGAAGCTCTCAAGTTTAGTCTGTCTATGAGAGACAGCTGTGAAAAGAGGGTCTGTAACTGATCCTTTGGAATAATCGCACTTGCTCTCTATCAGTTGTTCTATTTCACCGTTTGCTCCGTCTCCCAGCTGTGCCTGGGGTTGCATCACACACTGAATGCCTTCACAACCAGCCACAAACAGGTCGAAGTCCAGGTTATGTCACTGTCTGAAGCTGCCACACACTGCACTTCAACACAGCAGATGACACACTACAGCATTACAATTTAAATGCAGACACCTCTTTGGAGCTCCAAGATAAGAAGTTTCTTTAGTCTCAAACTCAGACTTTGGTGTCTTGAGTTTTCTTATAGCTCTGCACAGGAGCTACAAGGCTAAACTAGGTAACAAGTAATGGAGACATACATACCACTGAACAGACAGTCTGCGAAACGTCCGTTACTTATTAGTTACATAAGTGTTGCTGTTTCAGTGCAAAATTAAAGAAGCATATTTTAGACACCAAACATGTCTTGGCTGTTTGACTACATTTGGTTAAGGAGATATCTGTGAATTTGATTCTTTGCCAAATAATTGCTCTAAGACACGCAGGTAATTTGGCTATACTGTCATGTCAGATATGCTAAGGACTTAGGGGTCATGCTGATTAATTAATAGAACAACAAAATGAGATAAACGGGAATTGCTTCTTCATTAAACACACAGTAACCTAAAATAACCTCATCTTGACCTCCCAAGTCCAAGGTCCTGTACAACTTATCAGTGGATTGTTACCTTTGCCCATTAAACTACATATGACAGATCAAAAGACAGGTCATTTGTTGCCACACACTGCGGCTGGAAGCAACATCTGACCCACTGAATGAAAGTGTTCATCCTGAATATCTATCTAAACGTAAACGAAACCTCCTCAAATTCAGTTGCCTTTAAAGATATTGGATTCATTCAAGTATGCTCTGTCATTTCTGGCTGCAAATTATCCTTTGCAAAGACACTTTCACCCACTGCAGCATAACGGCAGGGTGACTTACAACTCTCCGACAGAGTGCTGAACCTAGCATTTTGATGTTCAAGCATTATATGAGACACACACAGTTCATGGCTCTAAATTAACTCCCAAAACAGACCCAAGAGTAGCAGTGGGTGGTATATTGGTCCATCTTGTAGATCAGTCAAAATTCTTCCTCAAGTAAAAGTTCCGTCAGAACCGTTATACCAGTACAAACCACCCTAACGTTAGTGCCTTTAGCTGGGTGGCTAAGCCAAGGACGTTTCTGTTGTGTTTCAACTGAAAATTAAAGCAGAGCAGACGCCATCCAGCCCATTAAATCGTTAATCGCAATTACTAACATGACAATTAATCATCAGCTAAAATTTCATGATCTTAAAAGCCCTAGTCAGGGAATACAGATCAGATCAAATTAAATAAAACAGATAAAATAGTTTCATTCAACTGTTTTGTTTTTCTTTTACCTAGTCTTGTGACAGATGGCAGTGTTGTCCATTATAAAATCTTTTGCTGAAGGGAGGTCTGACCTTATAGGTCCATAAAACAGAGGTTTTATGCAAGTTACTATCAGCCTTGCGTTAAGTTCAGTACGTTTCTTGTGCTGTAGTTTACAAGAGAAATTCAGCTTATTATTATTATTATTATTATTATTATTATCATCATGTATGCTCTGTCAAAACATAAACAAAATATATTCTCCCCCTAATCTCCATGCAATTTTAAAGATAAATCACCACAAAAAGTACAGGCACAAAAAACAGGTGAAAGTTAAACTGCAGGATGTTTTAGGAAGTGGTCTCTTCCTATTCTGTACCCACATCCTGGGCTTCTGTCATGAGAATTAAGAGGAAGGGCCTTCTACTACACATAGCTTTATGGGATAATATTGCAGGCATATGATCCAAAGCTAAGAATACAACTTTGCTACATGTGATTAGATGACTCACTAAAAACAAATGGTTTTCAGCGTTTCCCCTAGAAAAGCAGCTCAAGCACCTCAGAGTAGGGAGGACGTGGACTGTCTGCACTAGAACAACAACACTGGGGAGTCCTCCTGCTCTAAAACACATTCCTCACTGTTGTTCTTGTGATTCAATATAGAATTAACAGAAATTAGCAGCATGATCTGCAGAAAAGATATTTGTTTGTTCCAAACTACCTCACAACTGACACACAATGTAAACCAAATTTCTAGTGTTGACTTCTTTATAAGCATTTGCAAACAAGAGAGGAGCTTAAGCACAATTTTGAGAGAGCATTTACACTACTAGAGTAGCTAGTACCCTACATTAGGGGAAATTAATCCATTCCGGGGTGACTTTAGGAGGGGATTAGACTACGTTTGGCCACAACAGCCACTGTTTCACAGGATTAAGATCAAACTGTAACATAACATACAACACTATTCCTGGGTTTTTAATGAGGCAAATTCCAGTGGAGTTGTGTTTCACTTCAAGACTTCATCAATAACGCAAAGACAACACACTGACAAAAATTACAACAATGGTGACGGTGTCAAATTTCAGCTAAACTGTATTTGCATAAAATAATAATGATGACAGGCTGACGAGCAGGTTAGTAAACAAACACGGAGACAGAACAGTGCACTTATATCAAGCGATATGACAAAAACTACACTGATACATTACAATAGAGATGCTTTAACCATACTTATTGAGGTTACTTAGATGACATTAAATACTAAGTCTGACAAATCTTGATCCTAAAATGGCAAATTAAGTTGACAAACATAAGCACCGCCACCAATTTATTATTTTTATTTTTTTTATTTTTTTTTGGCGGGGGGACCATCTACTCCTCAATGTGGCCAAGACAAGGAGAAGGAGGTTAAGTTCAGGGGAAAAAACAGGATCACAGTTAGACCAATAAACATCATGGGACAGGAGCTGGTTGACCTATAAATATTTTTGTGTCCACCTCAACAACAGGTCAACACGAGGCTGTGTACAAGAAGGGGATGAGCAGACTCTACTTTCTGAGGAGGCTCAGGTTTTTTTATGTTTGCAGCATGATGTTGGGGATCTTCTACCTGTCTGTTGTTGCAAGTGTGGTCTTCTTTGCGGCAATATGCTGGGGGGCACCATTAGAACCGGTGAAACAAAGAAGCTCAACAAACTGATGAAGAAAGCAGGCTCGGTCCTGGGATGAACCTGGGACAGTGTGAGGTGGTCATGAAAAGGTGGACACTATAATCTATCTTGGACGATGCATTGCATTCGCTCCATGACCTGTTGGTCAAACAGCGGAGCACCTTCAGCAACAGACTCATCAACCTGCACGACAGTTCATCACTCTGTCGGGACATCATTGTGCATTAAAGCCTGTTCCTTTAATGAGCTCATCAGACATCTCTTTGCAGTTTTGCGCTTGACAGTATGCTGTTACTGCACTGCTGCTAGTTTACCATAAAACCGCACTATACTGCCAATCATCATATCTACTTGCTGCACACCTACGTACTACAGCTGTTGCTTACATTTACTCAGATGACTGGTAGTTATTTTTACAGTTATTTTACTTATGTTTCTTACTATTATTTTCTCACTAATTACATTTATTTAATTTCATTTATTTATTACTCTTACTTCTTACTTGCAAACACTATTCCTTTGCTGCTGCTGTAATGTATGAATTTCCCTTTGGTATTAATAAAGTGATCTATCTACCCATCTACCTATCCACCTACAGAGCCTTCTAAAACGGCACTTGAAAGCCTTCCAACGATAAACTAACGTAAATTACCCGGAAACAACTTCATAATTCTAAATAGTTCTCACTTGTCTGACTAGCCATTTGAGCCATTTGAGTCAATTTAGTCCATTCTGATGATCAGGGGATACATTTGCCTATCAAGCCAGTCTACCAAAGATTAACGTTTACAAAACAAGTCACAAAAAAAGATCTCACTTGCTACTCGTCCAGTTAGCTCGCTACCACTTAGCTAGCTATGCTTGCTTAAGAAAAGGTTACACGAAAAGGACTGAATATGTTCACTTTGATAAATTCCAACAGCTGGATTTGGAAACAACTGACTTAGCTTAACGTTATTCCAGTCGACGGCTGTCAAATACAGGTTAGCTAAGCACGCAACTAGTTGCAGTAAAGTAAGCAGATGATGAGCTAGAATCCAACTTTATCTGCCGGGACTGTCAAAACTAGGCTAGCTAGCTAAGCTAAAACTAAACCATGCCAAATTGAGACCAATTAAATTAAGCTAAAATAAGCTAAGCTAACTTAACCGTCAACCACTGACAAATCCGCATTAAATGTAGTAGAACGATTAGCAGACGTTAGCAATTTGGCTAGCTAATTAGAAAATAAAAATATTACCCCTTGTCAAACAGAACACCTTTCGCTACATTCAGCGAGTTTTAAGTTTAAAGATGAGACACTTAAGATGACAAAAAAATAAAGTATCA